TTAATATACTACATGTAGCCTCATGTGACTAGATACAGTAAAAATAAATGCAGATGCTCTAAAAACATTGGGTAAAATCACCTTCAGGTTATATTTTCAAGGTGTATATGAAACATAAATAAATGTTGTATTTGGCCCCATCCCAAGATATGCAAATATTAAAAAGTCAAAAAATCTCAAATCTGAAATATTTATGGTCATTTATGTAGATAAGAGACACTAAACCTATGCTGTGACTGGTAACATTTATCCTTATTCCTGTCTTGTTGATGCCATTTAAATTTGAACACATGGGGCTGGCAAGATGGCTCAGCTGGTAAAGGTAATTGTTGCCATGAGTGACAACTTGAGTTTGATCCCTGGAACCCACATGGTGGAAGGAGAGAACCTTCTGCAAATTGTCCTCTGACCTCCACATGCACTTTGTGGTACACATGCACTGTTCCCCACCAACAAAAGTAAATAAAGGTAAAATAATTTTAAAAATTTGAACATGTTACCTTTCTTTTTTATTTTTATTTTTTGAAGTCAGGTTCTCACTCTGTAGTTCAGGCTGAACTCACACTCACAGCAATCCTCCTGCCTCAGCTTCCTGAATGTTGGGATTATAGGCATGAAACACCACACATATTGCCTTTCAATATAGTCATTTGAGTGCAAATGTAGCTTTTATGTCTGCCTTTTCCTGAGATGATTTAAAAGCTACCCATGACAAGGTATAAAAGACACCATCTTAAGATATCATTATTTTGCCCATCAAATTAGAAATTTTCAAAAAGTAAAATCCAAAAGAACAGTCAATACTGACAAGGGTACAATGAAATATGGGAAGTAATATAAAATGCTGAGGAATGTACTTTGCAATTAAGTAACAGAAGTAAAAAATTAAATAATCAAGAACTATGAAATGTTCATATTTGTCAACTCAAAAATTCTACTTTCAAGAATCAGTTCTAGCCAGATGTGATGGTGCATGGACTCGGGAAACTGAGGCATGAGAATTGCTGTGAGTTCAAGGCCAGCCCGGGCAACATAGTTCAAGGCTGGCCTGAGCTAGGACAGTATATCTTGCCTCAAACCAACCAACCAACCAAACAAGAATACATGTATTCAGGTGGTTGAGGTGATAGAATCATTTGAACTGAAGAGTTGAAGTTCAAACTGGGATCCGTCTCAGAAACAAAATATTCCAAAATTGAAATGTTTTGAGTGCTGACAAGATGCCAAAAGTAGAAAATTCAACATCTGGTCTCATGCGACAGGGTGCATTCAAAATACAGGTGTACTAAAACCACTGCACAAGATTGTAGATTATATTCTACGGAAGTACAAATGTCAATAAAGCTCTATGCATAAATTTGCAAATATATATACATATATATGTATACATGTGTGTGTATATGTATGTATGTATATATGTGTGTGTATGTGTGTGTGTGTGGAAAAACTACAAACAATCTGAATGGTCAACATTATAATAGCTAAATGATGTGATTTAATAAAAAATTACAATTTTTTGGCTTTTTTGAGACAAGGTCTCCCTGTAGCTCTTGCTGGTCTGGAACTTGCAATGTAGACCAGGCTAGCCCTGATTTCACAGAGATCCTACTGCTTCTTCCTCTGGAGTGCTAGGATTAAAGGCATGCACCACCATGCCTGGCTATTTGTCTTTTTTTAATTATTTATTTAATAACCACATAATTAGAAGAAACATTTCATTACAATTACCTTTTTTTAAGGTCTATCAAGTCTAATATGTGTTTTGAAAATGCTCTTGGGTGTGGGTCTGTCCCATGGAGTCTGGTCAACCTACCAGGTGACACATCTGACACTGCTATCAGGGCCAAGAACTTGTGGCTAGACAAGTCACAGGACATAAGGGACAACCTACTACTATTGTTCTGCTAAATGGACATAGTATTAACCTGACTCCTAATAAGTTACTGGTATACCCATAGATTAGTGCATCTCTCAACTCTCAAAGAAGGCTCTTCTTGCAGCAGATGGTGATTAACAGAGATCCATAAGTGGTCAACATGAAAAGAATAAGAGACTGCAGAATGCTCAGTTCTAAATGGAACACCTGTATAATATCCTCTCCTTTCAAGGCTCAGGGAATCACTGTGAGATGGGTGGAAAGACCATAAGAGCCAGAGATAGTAGAGGAATACAAGGAAATTGTGTTGTCTGGACACCATAGAGTAGTTGCAAATATGAACCCATAGTGTTTGTGACAGTATGCATAAGACCTGTGCAAATCCAAGCCAGACAAAAACCAGCATGGATGGGGGAGGTGATCTGGAAGCCCCAGCCCTAGAGATTTATTGGCAATTTATAGAAGCTGAAAGAGGGAGAGTCAGTTTTCCTTACTGGTGTGATGCATGGTAGGTTAACAACGGATGAACAGTTCTTATACTCTATTATATTGGGTATAATGACAAGAAATAAAGTTAGCATGTGTCTAGTACAGATATAACCTTTTTTTGCTTTGTTTTCACTTTTTTTGCAACAGGGTCTCACTATATAGATTAGGCTGGCCTTGAACTCAAGGATGATCCTCCTGCCCCTGCTGCCTGAGTGCTGGGGTTATAGGATTCTACCACTAAACCAGCTACATCAATGCAACTTGGGAGAAACATTTTTGATAGAGAGTCAATTGACTTTTTGGATGTAAAACCTATAGATATAATTCATAAACAGTACCTCAAATGCATAAGACAAGCATACAAAGACTAGAAGATCTAATCATCAGCACCACACACATGCAGAATCAAAGATAACATAAAAAATTTTTATAGTGGTTATTTAAAGTTGGCATGTTAAATGACTTAACAGAAAAGAAGTATTTTCAGGTCCCTTTCTAGTTGTGATCTGGCATGAAGAACTGCTGTAGGTAGCAATATATTTGCTACCAAAAAGAACTACTCATTGTTTGTCTTAGGTTGTTGCATCTTTCCATAGTTGACCAAACTTAAATGAAGATTTTGTCAGTCTTTTTCTTTTCTTTCTTTTTCAAAAATAATTTTTACAAAACCTTTATTGAGAATTTCATACATGCATGTAAGGTGTTTTGATCAAATCCATGCCCATTCCCTCCCCTCCAACATTCCCTCCTCTGAAGAGGTAACCCTAAAATCTTTTAAGGATTAGGTACAAGCTCCAAAATACTTTTGACATTTTTGGCCTTGGAACAGAGTATGTTGCTAACAGGCCCAAGGACATTTTGACATTTAGCCAGGAAACTGGCTACATTTCTTTGGGGTCTTTTTAGCCTAACTGCCTAGCCAATTCCTACCTCCTATTCTATTCTTATCACGCCTTTTTTTTTTTTGGTTCCCAAATTGCCAATAGGGAATCGGGACGCCGACCACTCTGGCTTCTTTCATGCTGAACAGGGATGCAGGGTGAGGCAATTGGAGTACCCTTTCAGTGGGTCTATCTAAAAGAATCCCAAAGTGCATAACTTTTAGTTCAAGAAGGAAAAGAAAGTATTTGAATTGTGAATAGGAGATGTGAAGGAGAAGTAAGGGCATGAGTATTACAAGTTACAAGTTCTAGACAAGGAACTAGAAAAAAGTCAGAACAGGGCAATTTTCAAATGTTCATATGAGAGTCCACTGGAATTTCTTGGCAAGGGCTGCCAAAAATATCCCTCTATTGGGTTCTTCCTCATTTTTCTTTTCTCTTTTGTGGTGTTTAGGATTGAACTCAAAACTTCTTTCATATTAGCTAGGTGATCTACCACTGAGCTGCAGTCCTAACTTCAAATCTATTTTATGTTATTTTTCCTCTTTCTGCTCCTCCACCCAAAAGGCATCTCCCTCTGTTGCTTAGTGTATTATCAAATTCCTAAATTATCTTTCCCTCCTCAATTTTGCAAGTAGCTGTGACAACAGGTACATACTACAATACCTGTTTTGATTTTAAAAGTCTTACTAGATTTGATCTACTTTACCCCAGGGCCAGGGTCTTGGAATGAATAAAAAGGAGAAAGCAAGTTAAGCATAAACATCATCTTTCCCTGCTTCTTCTACTGCAGCTGCAATGTGACCAACACTTCAGGCTCCTGTCACTATGACTTTCCCGCTATGACAGAGTGCACACTCAAACTGTGAGCCAAACTGTGTGTGTTTCTTTTGTCAGGTATTTTGTCATAGCAATAAGAAAAGAAATGAATATTGAAAGTTGGTATCAGGAGTGGGGTTGTTGCTGTAATAAAACTGAACAGGTGATTTTCAGGCCTGAGAACTGTTTTGTAGTCAGAAATGTGGAAGGGTTTGGAACATTGGGTGAGAAAAGCCTTAGAATGCTATAAGTAGAGTTTAATGGGCCATTTTTTTATGAGCTCTTCCCCCAAACTTTTTTTTACATTTATGTATTTATTTATTTATTTATTTAAAGGGATGACAACCATGTCATGGTACATGTATGGAGGCCAGAGGCTTGCTTCTTAGAGTTGGCTCTCAGATTCCACCATGTGAGCTTGGGGATTGAACTCAGGTTTTTAGACATGGCAGCAAGCACCTTTACTTGATGAGCCATCTTGCCAGCTCTGGTGGGAGTTTTGAAGAACAGAATACTGAGTGAAATGCAGGCAATGGAAGCTCAATTCATGAATTTTCAGAGATGAACAAGGACTCTATTAGGAACTGGGCTAGAAGCCATTCATGCTATAGTCTGGCAAAGAATCTGGCTTCATTCTTTCCATGTTCTGAGGAGCTGAATAATGATGAATTCAAAAGTAATTTGTTTGGTGGAGAAAATAGCAGGACAGGATGACATTCCGGCTGGGGAATAGTTAACTACTCACTGAGGGAGGAGGGGAAGGGGGCAGACATTTGGCAGGGAAATAAGGAAGTTCAAGTTGCAAACAAGGGAGACTGCTGAGAAAGCAACCGGAATTGTTTAAAAAATTAACACCATTAGACACCTAGACTTCTGCACTGGGACGATAAGAAAGATGCCCAAGAGTAAGACCCCTACACTGAAGATTCCAACTTGTGAAATACACATTTCCTTGAAAGGAGAGACCCTAAACTAAGACTGTCACTGAAAGGGTTCCCTGCTCCAAAACAATGCCTAGGAAATTGTTCCTCCAGAGTCAGCACACTGAGGCCAATTCAACTGTGGTCCAAGAGGGCCAGGCTACATCTTGAGTTGGTAATAGAACTTGGCAGTGTCAGCCAAGTAGTACTGGTTTTGTAGGCATGAAAGATAGAAGAGTGGAGGTCATGGAGGCTTATACCAAGGTTTCAGAAAGCTGCTGAGGCAATGTAATGTGTGGCAGTGTTGGATTTGCTATAAGGAGACCCTCAGAGGCCACTGCACAAATTTGTGAAGGTGAAGCCTAAGCTGCAATGGAGACCTTGGGATGTTGGAGATGCCAGGACCATAGAACACCTGCTGATGCAAACTGAAGGCACAGGGTGTAAGTGGCCCAAGGGTGAGAGTATGTGTGCTGTAGGTGGCAGAGCTACACATGTTCTTTGGAGCCCAGATGATTCCATCAAGAGACCCAAATGCTAGCTTCAGGACTTGGCATTTGCTCTGTTGGGTTTTGGTCTCCCTTTGTTGTGGTCTTTCCTTGCTATGCCCTGATCCTTCCCTTTTGCAATGGAAATGTTCACTCTGTGGCTTTGTATATTGGCAATACGTAACTTGCTGTTTTGATGTTATAGGGGCTCATAGGTAAGAAATTCCCTTGAATCTCAGAAGAGACTTTGGAAATTGTACTGAATGCATATTGAATTAAGGGTTGAACATAAAACTTAGGGGATTTGGGTTGGAATGTTATAATTTAAGTGTTATGTTTATCAAGTTGAGAAGGGGTTGTGATGGTGAATCTTTTTTATAACATTTATTAATTAGTGTGTGTGTGTGTGTGTGTGTGTGTGCACGCACGCGCACCCACACAGAAAAGTAATCACATATACATGGAGGTCAGAGGACAACCTTCAGGAGTCAACTCTCTTCTTCCATTATTGGTTCCAGGAATCAAGCTCAGGGTTTCAGGCTTGTGTGGCAAGCACTTTTATCTGCTGACCATTTCACCAGCCCATGATGATTAATTTTGATTATTTGACAAGGGCTTTAGAATCACCATGGAAACACAGTTGTGGCTGTGTATATGAGGATGTTTCCAGAAAGGTTTAAATTAGGAGGAGAGATCCAACCTGAATGTGAGAGGCACCACCTCATAGGCTAGGGTCTTGGACTCAATAAAAAAGAAAAACTGAAATGAGTACCAGCATTTATCTCTGTTTCCTAACTGAAGATGCAATATGACCATCTTCCTCAAGCTCTTCCTGCCATGACTTCCCTACCATAATGGACTAGACTCTCAAATAATTCCCTACCATAATGGACCGTACTCTCAGAAAGTTCCCTACCATAATGGACCGTACTCTCAGAAAGTTCCCTGCCATAATGGACCGTACTCTCAGACAGTTCCCTAACATAATGGAC